CGAAACAAAAAATAGTTCATGTTTTCCATTATTTTCAGATATGTGGAAGGGAGTAATTGAAGTGTGTAATATTATTTAATGTAATAATTACACCATGGTATTGGAAAATAAAACAAAATATAAATGTTTTCCATCATTTCGCATGGCGTATTTTTGTCGGCGACAAAAATAGGCAATCGCTTCCCCAGCTAAGTGGGGGAAGTTGAAGCCTAATGGATAAATCACACATTTTTTTAGGCAATGCACTTTGCGATTGCATGAAAATAGATTGCACTTATCATCTTCAGTTCGAGTGACTACACTCAAGGTGGAAAGTCAAAGAACCTTTCTCGAGACGATCAGTACAATCTTTCTGGTTGCGTACGCAAAATGCACTACCCGTGTATCAAGCAAGCAATAGCAGAATGCAGAAGGGCAGCAACGCAAAGCAAATGGCAGCGACACAACACTTGGACTCCAAAATGCATCATGAGAAAGAAAGGCAACAAGTAGAAAGCAATTGAAACATGTTATGTGATGTAACAATCTACTGTAGAAAAATAGCATACTTGGAAACTAGAGATCCTTTCTAACGGCATTCGTGAATTAGCAATACAAGTGGCAAAAAAAAAAAAAAAAAAAAAAAAAAAAAAGGACACAAGTTGAGTTGAGAAGATAATGCATGGTGGAACTTGGGAAATGGAAATGACGATTGATGAAATGAACGACACATGAGATAGAGGTAAAAAATGGGATGAGAGATGTAGAGAGAGAGAGAGAGAGAGAGAGAGAGAGAGAGAGAGAGAGAGAGAGAGAGAGGAGAGAGAGAGAGAGAGAGAGAGAGAGAGAGAGAGAGAGAGAGAGAGAGAGAGAGAGAGAGAGAGAGATAGCGTGCAAGAGAGAGAGAGAGAGAGAGAGAGAGAGAGAGAGAGAGAGAGAGAGAGAGAGAGAGAGATAGCGTGCAAGAGAGAGAGAGAGAGAGAGAGAGAGAGAGAGAGAGAGAGAGAGAGAGAGAGAGAGAGAGAGAGAGAGAGAGAGAGAGAGAGAGAGAGAGGGAGAGAGAGAGAGAGAGAGTGAGAGAGAGAAACAGAGATCAAGAAAGAGGGAGCATAATAGAACTTTGCCAATGGAAATTGCACCTCGTCCCTTGATGTACACACTCGGACACCCAAGATGTGGGTTTTGTGTACTGCAAATCCCACATGCTCGCGAGTACCCCGCCCCGCAATTCCGTATCCCCCCAATCCCGCTTTTGTTCTCCCCCTCTGGCCACACATTCCCCACGCCCCACAATTTTTGTTTTCCCCCGCCCTGCAAATTCATTCCCCCTCCCCGCCGCGATTTTGAATGTTTATATAAACCTCGCCCCACAAATTTCGTTTGCGCCTACGTCAGAATCGTATTCCCCCCCTCCCCCCTCCCCCGCCCCCCCGATCTGCTTTGACAAATGTTTACAACCTCTCAGCGCGAGACATTTTGTCCGAGTGTGCCACGAAATTGACGACACCACGAACCAATGGTTATGTTTCACAGTAAGCCAAATGGTCGCCAAGCTCACGACCCAATGAGCGTGTCACTAGCCTAATTGTCACTGTTCATTTTTTCACATTCCTGGGAATGTGTACCGCGGCTTTAAAGCGAGGATCTCAAGAAGCACGAAACCAAATCCAAAAGGTTTGGTTTCGGGGTGACGAAATATGCGAAACATTAACTGAGGCCTCCAACATCCCCCACCACACCTCGCGATTTTCGCTACCCCCCAAAACCAAACCCTTTGGTTTTGGTTTTCTGCTTCTTGAGATCCTCGCTTTAATGCGGGAGACTCCCTGTCACGGCTTTCATTCGATTTTCCATGGCAAACTACCGCTAAACACAAAGCGCGGCTTCAAAGATTGTGTATTGGACATGGGATTCAGCTTTAGCGGTATGGTACAACCACCATGCCCTCCCAAACCCATGCCATTGCTTATGTACTAATGACCCTGAGATCATACACCTTGAGCCTGATAGAGGAGCACAACTTTTCAGGGTACTGGTAGACAAAAATGCGCAAGGATTTTGCACGGCATCGTCAAGGGCATGTGGGCCTTTCACACGGGCACGAGGGTTACCATTTTGAAGTTTTGCGGGGTAGGTTTGAGCGGCTTATTTTGGCGAGCCTTTGTTCACACAGTTACCTTGTGTGAAGTTTCGGCGCTTGCTAGCGTATTGTGATGAAACTTGCTGCAGCTCGACAGTTCATGAGAAAGAACGCCAACAAGTTCAGCAAAATCTAGAGACACGGAAATCAGTATATTGAAATTCCGCATAGATGTTTTCTTCTATTGCGTAACAACTGGGGGGGTTTCACGGGTTTCGATTTTGTCAAATCTGACCAGCTGCACGCGCAACACACGCTCAGACAAATTTGACCGGCCCCCCGCAACATCCGCTCCGCACTCGCAAATTTCGCCAGCACCAAAGAACATTTGCAACGCAAATTCCCTGCCACAATAGCAGCCCTCAGTCACATTTATAACAGACACCAGATAAAATCTGCAGTCGCAAATTCCGACGGTAACCATACCTACGGCCACATGTTTCGCCAACACCACAAACCTCCCGAGATAACCGTTTCGCCAGCACAGAATCAAACAGTTGCGAAATCCACATTGAAACATTGCAGATGGTGAGATTGCAAAGGCTCCATTTTTTGCCAGCACCAGAACATGCCACACAAGCTTTTCGCCAGCACAAAACCAAACCCCCAGTCGCGAAATCCGCATTGAAACCAAGCACACAAACTTCAGCCGCCTCGCACATTTTGCCAGCACCACAGGCTGACCCACACTCACAAGATTCTACACGACCAGAGACGACCCCCAAACAAAATTATCCAGCAGCAGAGAGCTACACCATGAAACTCGTTAAAATCAAGCGTGTATGTCAGGACGGCTGCGTTTGTTTTTAGCGGAACCGACCGCCGGGGGTATTTCCCGAGCACCCGAAGCACTGGTGGTGTACTCTGGAGTGACGAGTGTTTGACCCTACAGAGAGGGTGACCAGTAAGGATATTTAAAACACTGGAAGGTGGCGCAACAGCCAAAAAGACCCGCGCGCGGAACCAAATGTTGTTCCCGTACCGTCATGAGCTTGTGAGAGTTCCATGTTTCCTTCGAGAACTCACAGATGTTCAGGTGACGCTGTGGGATGTGTTGAAGTTCATTTGGAGACCCTGGGGTAGTTCAAAGGGGCTGGCTGAACCCGTCCTCGTCTTTGGCTTTCCCCACACAAAGCCATATTTGGTCCAGAGCAATGTGAAATTCCATTTCACAATGTGATAAGAAGCCGATCTGGGCAATGACTGTAACTGCTTTTTATGCTACGTGATTTGAGATAAACAAGATTTAGGGTGTAACACACTAGAGAGCACACACAACAGCCACTCCATTCATTCATGAAGATTCACGCAGACTGCTAATAGCTCTGCCCGCTCAGCCAAGGAAACGCTTGGAGGTTTACTCAAATGCACCGCGCATCCGGCGGACTCGGGGAACCCGTCCATAACCGTGCCTACACCTTCGTGAAATAGCTCCGCGTGACGCTCGCTACCTGTGATGGACCATGGCAAAGTATGCCCCACCGGCCGATGGGCGGAGCTGCTGGGAGGGGGCGCGTTGAGGTCGGGCAGCAGGTTGGCCCGCTCGAGGCGCTCCACAATCAGGGGGTTGGGGATGTCGAAAATAGAATGCAAGTCCCGCGGGGCGATGTTCATCCATCTCCAAAAAGTGGATGTCCTAAATCCGACCCGCTCTGACTGGTATACCCCATGTAGCCCACAAGTTGCATTGGGGATACGTTCGAGTAATTTGTTTTTGCAACTGACCTGTATCTCATCTCACACCTAACCTGCAAATAGCCCGATCCAGGATCTGACTCTCAGGTTATCTTGAAAATCGAAGATGCGGGTTCAATACTTGAAGGAATGACAAATTTGCTAGTGCAATGAAACATTTTTATAAGGAAAAAACACTACATTGTTCAAAGAACGCGCAAGTTCAAATCCCGTCGTCACCACACTGTAAGTGGCGTTTTTCTCCTTGGACAAAACAAACATTTTTTATACTAGGATCACCAGTTTCATTGTGTGGAGAAGACCCGGGTAAAATCCCCATCAGCGATGAATTGTTTGGGAGATTTTTCATAGCATGAACTCATTGTACTGTGCATTGAAGACTCGGGTTCAAATCCACACATCATCATTTGGGCGTGTGATGTTCTTTGGTGACTGGAAAATCGTTGGAACTCTTTGGTACATTATAAATGGGTTGCATACCAACAATGAAAGCATTTGGACAAGTAAGATAACGGATGAAGATTTTCAATGTTAATATTCAATCATATTCGAAAATGCGGAGCCGAAAAAAGAACGCCAACAAGTTCAGCAAAATCTAGAGACAAGGGAATCAGTATATTGAAATTCCGCATAGATGTGTTCTTCAATTGCGTAACAACTGGGGGGGTTTCACAGGTTTCAATTTTGTCAATCTCGTACAGCTGCATCCCCCCCCGAGCCTCCAACTCAAGCTTATCCACAAACCTCCAAAGCCTCACCCCCTTACAAACCGCCACGCCACCACCCTCTTTCTCGCACTTAGCCCAAACCTTGCGTGCCTCGCTAGCGTTGTTGAACCCGAGGCGCGAGCCGGGTTGTTGGTTCCTAGTGTCAGTTTCAAATCTGTTTCGTAACTCAACAATTCAACGGCTAGCGAAATGTGTCAACAAACAAACCAAAACGGTAACTGAAGCACTTGTGGAGTAATTCATGCGACACACCCTCAGTCATAACGTCATTGAACGCATCTCGAGAGTCCCCAACCATTTCAGCGCGCCCCCTCCCATTCGCACGCTTCACCTTCACACAGCCCTTGCATTTCTGGATCTCGCATCTCAACCTCTCTTCCAATTTCTTGTAATCTTCCTCCTGTTCTAGCTGCTCCAATACTTGTTTCCGTGTTTCCCCCTTGACAAAGTTTGGCCACCTAGAGTATTTACGCATCTCTAAATGACACGCATCCTATATCGTTATGCATTCGTCCTAATCTTCATTCTCTTTCCATATCTTCTCGTTGTCAACCACATCTGCATTTTCGATTCTTTGCCTAGTCAACCTTCTCCTACTCGTATTCGTTGCTGGATGTTTGTTATACAGTGACATAAAGTATTGTCCGCATGTTTGTGAGTTAGACGATTTTTGGAATATTAAGGGATCATGCACATTAAGCCTTAATCTTTTGGTGTGCCCAATGTATGTAGGTTGGGGTAAGGCTCTAGGCCCATGCCTTACATCTCATGAAGATGTTGTTGTTTACAGCAAATAGCAGAAATTAACAATCATGGTCATCCAGACAATGATTGCCAGGCGCAAGCAGCAAGTTTCAACAACCCCAAACTAGTACCTAGTCCACCGCCCTTTTGCCTTAATCACCGCCCTCACCCTCCTGGGCATGCTTTCCACCAGGTGGGTGCACAGATCCGCCGGGATCTTCTCCCATTCCTCCTGGACACGCTCCCAAAGGTCCAGCATACTAGTGGGAGGCTTCTCGTGCTTGGCCAGCTTCCTCTTCAGATGAGCCCATAGATGCTCTATTGGGTTGAGGTCGGGTGAGGATGATGGCCACTCTAGCACCCCAAACTCCTGCTCTCGAAGCCACTCCTGCACGATACGCAACTTGTGCTTCGGGTCGTTGTCGTGCTGGAAGATGACTTCCGAGGGTGAAAGCTGGTAAAACTCGATTGTACTATTGAGCTCGTCCTGCAGTATACTCATATAGAGCAGTGTGTCCATCCTACCATCTATTTTGCACATGAAACCCGCTCCATCATACGACATGCAACCCCAAATCATCAAGCAGTCGCCCCCGTGTTTGACGGTCTACTTGATTTGGTGGCTTTGGAGGGCAGTACCTTCGCGAACCCAGGCATATGAACGTCTGTCAGAAGCAAAACGATTGATCTTGGTCTCATCCGACCAGATCACTCGCTTGCAGTCGTCAACCATCAAGTCGACGTGGGCACGGACCCATTCTAGCCTATGGCGTATGTTTTTTCGAGAGAGTCGCGGCTTCTTGGTCTG